ACCTAGTTTTGTATATCCCCAAACCCGAAAGAATAACCATATATGTTTACAAGAGACCGAAACAAAAAGGAAATATAGACACAAACCCATCTAATAGTATGAAACAACATTATGAAAAGCCCAACCCGTCTCGTATTCGAAGACTGAGCTAATAGTGAATAAAAACCTTTCCCAAAAGTCCAGCCGTACAAAAAGATAACACAAGGGCGATTCCAAGATCAGCCAGAAACCAGACAACTCGTACAGATACAGCGTGCTTCGCACCAAGAATAGACATGGAAAAGAACCTCGAATAAAACCTGGTAAAAAAGACATGGATGGCTGCTGTGTAAGGAATGGATGGAGGGAGCGTATGTAGCAGATATCGCATCCATTGCAAGGAAGGAAGTGGCCAGCAAAAGAAAAAGCCATATCCGAGATCGTTTTGTTAAAAGACAAGAGAGAAGACGGAAAAGGATGACAAGGTCCATACGGAGTTGATCCGTGATAGAAATGTCCCAAGGCGAGCGCAAAAAGACGAAAATTGCAAATGGGGTATACTGCGGAAAGAAGTCTCAAGGAAAGATAGGGGCCATACTGCGTATCTGTATGATGTATGCAGAGTGAGCCGCCGAAGGCAATAGGCTCTTTGCTTTTCGTCGCGTTACATGAAGAATAAAAGAAGAGTAAAAAGTAATTAAAAAAAAAAAAAAAAATAGGGCTGTCGTAAGTCAATGATATCGATCTATCGCTAAATTTGTTATGCCGTAAAAGGTCGTCTCGAATTCCCCGATCCGGTGGACCGAGTATCGAGTGGAAGGCGAATGGATGCTGCGTTTTTTTGTGGTACAGAAATCTGCACTGTGCCGTTGCTCGGAGATGTTTGCTCTGGATCGTTGTCATCGGTATCAGGCACCACCTTGATGCTGGAGCTAACAGACGCCGAGAGGTAGCGGGAGCTGAGTGGAAGCTGATATTTGATGATGCCGCGGACAGTTAACTCGAAGGGGTGTTGGAGGACTCGCTCCCAGCGCTCTGTGCCTCCAGCCTCAGTCTTGTTTCCTGGCCGGGGTAGGCGGATCTGTCCTTTGGAGCTGGAAGTCAAATGATTCCAGGGAGATGATTCGAAAGACAGTGGGGAATCGAAGTGGAACACGCGGCCAAGCAACATTGATCGTGGGTCGCCTTCTGGATCGGTTGGGGGATCTGTGCCCTTGTCGACCCCGTCGCTGGTGTGGGGGTCAGAGTGGCTAGGCATGGCTTCCTTGATACAGTTCACATTGCCCAGGCACTTCACGGCTCGTGACAACTGCCAGCGACGTCGGCTTTGCTCCACGCGTGGGAAATTATCCAGATCACCATGCTCACGCCAAAGCTTGTCGGTTCCAACAAAGCGACTCTTAGCGAATATGTTGACATCGGTGTCGTCAATGGTCACAGGGAACAAGTTGGGATTGACGGCTTGCACGTTCAAATCCAACATGATTTCCTGTTCCGAAGCTAGCACGTTTTGAATCGCAACAACTTGGACATCGAGCAGGGGCTGGGTTGCTGCAATGACGAATGAGGTGGCACCGCCAGCGACAATCAACAACATGAGGAAGATGATAGCGCATGAGCCAAATCGAGCGAAAACCCCGCGTTCCCGCTGCGCCATGTACTCCATCTGCCGCAAGCTCGCACTGTTGGGCCGTCGGCCATTCCGACTATGGATTGTACGTGGTGTCCCTACCAACGGTGTACGTTCATCGTCTGCACCCTCTGCCTCGTAGTCATAGCTGTGAAGCTCGCTACCCTTCTTGGAACCGTTAATGGTTCTGTAGCTGGGAGATAACCGGGTATTACTGTGACGTGAATGCCTATACGTATTACCGATGAAATGGCGCGGAGACTTTTGAGATTGACTCTGCGAGGTTGCAGAATCGTTGTCGAAAAGATTTGGGTGCACGCCGTTGCGTCCATGAAGGCGGCCCAAATTATGATGCCGGGGAGTAATAGTTCCACTCCCATCAGTCCTCGAAGAACGCGGAGCCATATCGGCCTCGACACCATCTCCATCTATGCTGCTGTTGTTGTAGGGATTGGTGTTGGTAAACTTCATGCTGCGTTTGCCTGTCACACCGTGAGAAGAATCCCGCAATCCTCGGGTACGACTAGACATCTGGTCCGCTTGACTCGCCATCGAGGTCGCACTAGGAGTCCGAGAATGATACCGGGGTGGTCGGGAAGGGTATGGATCAGGCGGGTTCGAGTCGTAAACGAAAGTCTCGTCAGAGTCTGAAACATCAGCCTCATCTACTGCATTGGCCACTCTAGCCTCAAAGATGTCTGCTTTGCTTGTTACGGGGCCCGCTGTAAGAAGGGCATTGGGTCGGCGGGTCTTTTTCTTTTCCTTGCGCGGACGGATCGTCTCATTGGAAGGTTTCATGCGAAGTGTACCCTGGTCGGCGCGGGAAGCGCTGCCTCGCTCACCATTTCCCACTCCCATAGAGACTTGCGGTATCGAGCTGACAGTCTCTGTTTCCACAATCATGTTGCGAACTGAGCCATCAGCAGGCTTTCCACGAGCGCCAGCACTGAGTGATGTTGTTGATCGCTGTGACATGAGTGTTTTGGGTGGTTTGGCCGTGCCTGAGACCTGTGAACGAGCCTCTTCCTTTGGTTCCGAACTCCGATTCTCACCACTGTCACTGCCACTCCCTAAAGTTTGAGGCGGAGCAGTTGGAGCCGGGTCTTCATCGATCCGGTGTAATCGTGACTCCTCTGGGATCACCGGCTTGGTAGGAGTGTCACTGGACGGGGTAGAGGGATTGCTTGCCATCTCTTCGACAGTTTCTAGGGAGGGCCCTTGTCCACTGACGCCTCTAGCGACAGTCCGGGTTGTATTTCGGTCCGGCTTAGGTGCGAAATCCTCCAACGGCAATGAAGATCTTTTGAGCGAAGTATTCGGAAGGGTCGAATCCAGCTCTGTGCGACGGTTCGCGGCCCATGATGGCATATTGGACTTTTCCGGACCGGGAACATTGGCCGAGTCGACAGGAGCGGAGAGAACAAGTGATCTGACAGGAGAAGACGAGGACCGTTGAAGATTCGGTGCTGGCGGGTTTGTAGGTGGGCCAGAGGTCAAGCCGTTGGAGTGTCGGGTCGGACTGGATTGATCTTGGCTAGTCTTCCGTGAGTGTGAAGATACCCGGCTAGGCGAAGAAGGATTGTAGGCTCGTGAGGAGTGTCGGACCGGGGAGGGTTCGCGGGAGGAAACAGCGGAGTTCGTAGCAGACGCGGGAGCGGAAGCGGTAGGAGGATTGGGAAAAAGTTTAGGGACCTGAGACAAGGTTTGAGTCTGGGACGTAACGATGGATCGTTCCATCATGCCATTTTGGCTGGTCGATCGATGCACAACGTCTGACGCCGCCTCTACATCCTTCGGCGTTCTGGATCGACCAGAGGTGCCGTTAAGGTGAGGCAGCCTCTCGGACTCCGCAGCCATGGTCCCTGTCGAGTCAGAATGGACTGGCACGACGTAGACAAGTCAGGAGACCCGAGAGGTAGCCAGGTAGTTGGGCAGACACAGGGCCCAAAAGGGTAAGCAAAAAAGCAAGGCACGGCGCCTAGACAGGGAAAGCTTGACGGTGAAGAAGTGAGTTGTTGTTGGTAAGGGCGAATGAGATATCACGAGGATCGGATGGGATGTTGCGCAGAATACGGGTCGTTACACATGCGAGGGTACAGCAGAACGAATAGCCGATGACCACATGCTGTTGCCGGAAATCGGATTCTGTACAGTAACGCACAAGCGAAAAATGGCTGCAGCAGGTGCAGGGGTTGGGGAAACTGGAGAGAGATGGAGATTGTTTAGAACACCAAGTGGGCCGGGGTTAGTGTAGCGCAACGAGCCCACACATCACTTGTGCCGTTGTGCTTTGTTGCCGGGAAGGGGAAAAACAAGGCCTAGAACGAAGGAATTGAAGATGACAAGATATGGTTGGCGGATTTAGGGCAAATGGAGACCCGCCGATCCGGCTCAACGTTTTGGCTTGACTGGTTTTACGTTGTTCTGGAGTGGCGTCCTGGGCTGCCAAATGTGCAGGAGAAGTCGGTGACCAAAACCTCGGTGAAAAGTGGCTGACAGAGAGGGTCAGGTTTGTGGCAGAGGCCAATGACCGGGGTCCACGTCAAGGGAGGGGGGTCACTGCAGGGAAGCACACGGATGGTCTAGAATCCAGTGGAAGATCTCGGGAAAGAATGTGAATGTGTAATCAAAGGAGAGGGGAAGAAGTTTGAAAAGTGAAATTGAAAGAGCAGAGAGAGAATGAAACTTGGGAAGAGAAACCAAAGAAGCTGAAGTCACTTTGGGGGACTTTTGTATTCAGAGGTTGGATGACGAGTGGGTGACGCCCAAATTGGTAATTAATGGTAATTAATGGTAATAAAACGTGCAGCGTGCAGGAAATAATTAATTACTCATGTAAGGGAAATACCAAGGTACAATGACTTCATCTTGCCACGGCCTCACACTACAACTATTAGTTTATGTAGTATATTATATGGTAGGAGAAATAAAGTGTTTTGCTGGTTTCTTTGACCTCGAAGAATCGATTATCATTCAGAATGTCTATATTTAGGGTCACTTTTCTAAGAGTTTCAGGTTTCAACATTCTTGTTGTCTTTGTTCTTACTAATAGGACAACGAACGCCACTAAAACAGTAGGAATCAAGGACTGACTGTAGGTACAGATTACTAGGGTATAAGACTGGTAAATGGCCTAGAAGAAAACAGGGTTTAATTAATATACAGTTCTATTTAATCCGTAGTCAATATGTATACCAAGATCATCTCCAAAATGCAGCAAAGAGGAACACATGCTTCGTATATCATCAAATCCAAGGACCAACACGCCGAGTATTCAGAGCCGAAGACCAAAATAAAGAAACCCGCCCCAGGTTCCTAAATTAAACGAGCAAATAACCAAACCAAAACCCTGGGTATCGATCCAATTGACTAAAAAGTAGACATCGTACTTCTATACAATTTTATAGACTCTTTTAGCGATCCAAACAGATACAAATGCAAATACGCATAGTCCGGCAGTAACTACGAAGTATTAGCATAGAACCTGGAAAGGATAAAAAAACAAACAGGGAAGACATACTGCACCAGAACCATGTCAGGCTATCGATCTCCTGACCCGGTACCTTAACGTTCATCCCCCACATACCGCAAATGATGTTCATCGGTAGGACAATCGTACCAAGAACCGTCAGCTTACCCAAGACATCGGCAGTATGTTCCTGGCGCTCATTCATGAGGATGTTTATCTGCGCTAGATAGTTGGAGTGTGCGCGGGAAAGGATTCTGGAGGACACAGTCAGCGATTTCTGCAACCTTTGGGAAGAGTAACTTGGACCATGGGGAATAATCATACGTTTCGTAGTGCGTTAGGTTGCCCGTCATCGTCATAATGTGATCCTGAATATCACCCAAGTACAGACCAATCTCTGACTTGGGTGCAACCTCCCACTGCTCATTGCAACGCTTGGCAAACCCCTTGACTACATCAGCCTTATTGCTGAGAAGTCGATATAATCCCATGACCTTCTTGCGGCATTCTCCCACTCGCCGGAGCATCTCTCCTGGTGCAAATGAAGGAAGCACACCATCATTGGACGACACCTCCTTGCTGGAAGAGTGCATTTGCATGATCATCTCGTCGATCTCATCGACCTCGTCTTCAATCGCTTGGATCAGCGGGCCGAAGACGTCGGTAATGTCATCAATCAGTGCGTATGAAATCCAGTCTGAGCTGAGGATCAGGTAATCCATCAGTTGGCGGATACGCCGCCGCACATTGGCTGGGTGAGGCGTTTGCGAGAAATGGAAGGATATCACGCCTTCGCGGAAAACTACCACATACATATTCACCGGCTCGAGATAGTCCTCATTGTTCTTATCCTGCTCAAAAGTGCGGTAGTTGACGAAATAGTAGCTGCGGAACAACTCGACTTTCTCTCGAGCTTCTTGCATCATGATATCCTCTGCCGTCAGCGCGTGAATCCCGAACGCTTTGGCAATCGTGCGCATCTCTGCATCTGTTGGAGAGAGAACATCTAGCCAGAAAGTTGGCCGCGGACCATACCGTTTGGGTTTCGGGTTAGGGGGTGTTGTTAAACGGGGTGTTTGAAGGTGCGGGCGAGGGCTCTCGGTGGGAGTCTGGGCGTCCTTCGCTAATGGCAGATAGACGTGAGGGTCCTCTGACAGGAGGAGCATTGCCGGTCATAAGGTCACTTGTAGTTTTTCCATTGGGAACAACGGTGTGAGGTGTCATGTAAGGATTGACGTTTGTTTGATGGCCTTGGCCTTGACTTTGGTTATCCGTCTGATATGGTGACTTGCTGGCGGGATGGGTTGAATTATTGAAAGCCGAATTCTCCACGAAAGATTCCTCTTCCTCGTCCTCATCTTCCGAGGAATCCTCCAATTCGGGGGGATCTGGAATAAACAAATCGCGGAAGCTACCACCTGGTTGTACCAATTCAGAGATGGTTTGCGCATGAATGGTGCTCGGGAATTCCTCGTTGAAATATGTGAACCGATAAGGCGCTTCATCCTCCTCGCGTCGCCAACCTGTATACTGAGGGCGCAATCGGCCTTCGATGAGCACAGGCTCGCTGATCCTTTTGACTCGAAGATCTCCGTTGCGCTCCTCTTTCTCCTCGCGGCTCCATTCTTCCAGAATGGAGAGATCGGGCCATCGCCGATTTCTACGTCGTCGACGCTCACCTGTTTCATCTCGCGTTTGTCTTGGTCCCTCATCTCCCAATTCGGATATTGTTTCCGTAGGAAAGCATACGTCTTCCTGTGCTGGTACTGCCACCGTTCGGCGTCGCCGCATTTCTTGTTGTGGAGAGAGCAGGGGCGACCCAGGTGAAGAGGATGGTGCAGAATGTGGATGCCGTCCATTTCCGTCTATGTCAATCAGCGCATCGTTGAGGACATTCAAAGAATCTTTGCGATTCTCCATTGACCGAGCCATTGAGAAATCCCAATCAGCTCCTGTTACCACAGCATCGTCGTAATTCATCTCCGGGCCCAGCTTTGGAGACCCAGGAATTGAAGGTGGGTTGTTTATATCGTAGTCTCGCTCTACAGTGGGAGAATAAAGCGGGCTGCGATCGTCCTTTGGCGAGCATCCCGAGGATATAGTTTTCGTAGAGGACTGCTGAGCACGCGATGAGAACAAGCTCGGGCGACTGTCTGTTCCATACCGATTATGACCGGGCGTGTGGCCCGAAACTGGTCGCATCAATGGTGTCCGATCATTGGCATCCTCTTCGTCACTATCACCAATGTGGTGTTGTTGGCTCCGTCCTCCCTTCGGGGTGCTGCGAGGTTGCCCATCGTTTGATCGGAAGACATTGGATGTTAGGGAGCTTGGGCGGAATGATGATCCAAGGCGACTGTCACGACGAGGTCGCATCAAAGGTTGGTCCCTACTCGGCAAGAAAAATCAGCATCCATCTCAAGCTTCGAGATGGCACAATATCAAGAGATCTTACCGATGATCTAACAGAGCATCGCTCTCCAAGCTTGTGTTACTCAGGTTGCGCCCTAATTTGAAGAACGACTTGTCCCTCGAAGTTGGCCGATCGGCCTCCATTGGATGATCTCTGACACCTCCAGCATCCGAAGTCTCCCCAGGACTATCATGAGATTCCTCCTGACTAGGTGGAATAAAAGACTGGTGTCGGTTGCGACGTTTGCGATTGCGGTTCTTTTTGCGTTTGGAGGACTTGGAGGGTTTGCCGGCAGCATTATCAGCGGGGGGTTCGAAGCGGGTCCTGTTGGCTGGCGTAGCCTCGGAGACGGGTACCGCACCAGTCCCTGGGGCCCGACCGCCGCTCATTGGGCCATAGCTAGCGTTGTTATCAGCAGAGTGTGGGTAATCGGTGCGCTGTGGACGTTTTCTTGGGCTAGACGAATGCGAGGAACGAGGCGGTCGGGAGGCCGCTGTGCCAGGTGTCGGGATCATGGGGGATCCATTGTGACAGCCTCGATGATTGGGTCGCGATAGAGGTTGGGTGTCTACAGTACAGAGCAACTGTACTGAAGTGGAGGATGATTTCTCAGCAGTTCATCGACCAATGTAGCCAGGCCAACGCAAACAGGGTTCTGGATCACAGGGCAAAGGCTCGCAACATGCAGGACACCAGCTTTCCATACGATCTGACTAGCGCTGATGATCACGGGTGAACCGACATCGGCATGGTCGACAGCACTGAAAGGAGCTGCAGCTTAGGTTGGGGAGATGACGCGGGTGGCAAAACCAGAGTGGAACATTCCCGGGGATAAAACAAGGCAAGAAAATCTTAAATTGAGATATGAAACAGTGAATAAAAAAGAATAAGTTGTGTACTTGTATAGTGTGTAACAGGAAAAAGGAGAATTCAATACGAAGAGAAATCCCGAGGTTCCTCTCTGCAGATGAGATTCTGACTTGGATTTCATAGGACAACCCTGGAGACTTTTCCTAAAACGGAATAGATGAGGTCAGCACAACTATAAAATTCAGGTTTTTGGCCATTGTAACCTATTACACTTGTCGTAAAAGAGGAAAAGAAGAGTAAACGTAAAGGAAAACAAAAATAAAGCTCCTTGATATTCCCCGAACTTTAGAACGTGGCATAAGCCGGAAAATAGCCCTAGAGGAGAGGTCCTATACGCACTTTGACTGTACTAGCTTTGCAGGCTTTCGCGGGCGAAATTGATAGGGAATAATGATCTATAGAAAATATCTACCTACTACATGCACTGCTTTGCTGATAAGCATCCAGATTTGCCTAGCTTGCGGTGGCACTACAAGAGTGCTTCACCACGAGAGCCATAAGCCGATCCGCAATGTTTAAGTGTAAATCCATCATCATTTATACGTTTCACGAACGGGATCGCCAATTTCCAAAGGATTCAGATCAAGGCCTCGCTAGAATGGCTTGCTCTACTCTTTACTATCTTGGGCACAGCTGTCCTTGCACTGGAAAATGACAGCCTTGACATTTACTAGTCAGCATTCTCATTGCATGTCCTGCCCCCAGCGGGAGTGCAGGATGAGGACATCTTCCAGGGAAAGCAAGTACCGTGTTGGCTGCCCAAATGACAATCCAGGATAACAGTTTCAACCTGAGAACATGCACTCCTCCATATGTAGATCTATGTAGGAAGATGATACATAGAATGTTCAAGTATTCGCCCTCTGGTACTCAAATGTATTGGCAGATTCCTTAATTCAGGAGGATTTGAGAACCTAGGACTGTTAGACCCAGTAATTCCTACTTTGATCATTTCTTGTCAGTAACGAATCTAACGGTAGAGAGTGATCTGGTTCCTGTTTTGTATATCCGCTAGTCCCGCGTTTCGAGCGTATCTCCGCTGTCCGCTCTCCATAAATCCGCCCCGCCTTGCAAGAAGTACGATGAAATCATGTTATTGATAAATTCAAGGGAGACGAGAGAAGGATATTTCTCCCATTTTACTGCATAAGCAATTAACCCAACTACAAATCTCCATTTCCTCAACTATGGCACCACCCACCTCTCGCAGCGAGATTCTCGCCAACCTACGCCGTCAAATCGAAGCTGGGAAACCCATCGTTGGAGCAGGAGCCGGTATGTACTCGGTCTCACCTATCTCTATTAGCTCTCTACCGATCAAATAATTAATAATCCACCATCAGGCATTGGTCTATCCGCAAAATCGGTCGAGGCCGGCGGCGCAGACCTAGTCATCATATACAACAGCGGTCGGTTCCGCATGGCGGGGTGCGGAAGTCTCGCGGGGCTGATGCCGTACAGCAACGCCAACGAAGTAGTGGTTGAAATGGCCGCCGAAGTCATCCCCATTGTTCAGAACATTCCTGTAATTGCGGGTGTCTGTGGTACTGACCCATTTAAGCACATCCCGCGGTTCCTGAAGCAGCTGCGGGATTTGGGCTTTGGCGGAGTGCAGAATTTCCCTACGGTGGGACTGATCGATGGCAACTTCCGTGCTAACTTGGAGGAAACGGGGATGGGCTATGAGAAAGAGGTGGAGATGGTGCGGCAGGCCGCTGAATTGGATATGTTGACCACGCCTTATGTTTTCAATGTCGAGGAAGCTGAGGCTATGACGAAGGCTGGGGCGGATATCCTGGTTGCTCATATGGGTCTGACTACTTCCGGGCTGATTGGGGCGAAAACTGGAAAGACGTTGGAAAAATGTGTTGAGGAGATCCAAGCAATTCGGGATGCGGCGGTGCAGATCAACAAGGATATCATTGTGCTGTGCCATGGTGGGCCTATTGCTGCTCCCGAAGATGCGAAATTCGTGTTGGATAGGGTGCAGGGTGTGCATGGCTTCTATGGAGCCAGTTCAATGGAGCGACTTCCTGTTGAAGTGGCCATCAAGGACACCACTGCCGAGTTCAAAAAGATTGCCTTGAAGAGGTAGTTTTCACGGAGCTGTACCCGAGAAGCTTTCTGATTATGAGTCTCAAAAGGCCTCTATTTCCCTCAGCTCAGCACTATCAAATCTACATACTTCATTCCCTTTTCTAATTCCTATATGTAAATTATGACCATGTGTAGAGAATACTTGATACTTCAAATTTCGGAATATCATATCGCTCAACTCCAGCATATTATAGTTGCAGTGGATGAATAAAAGGTTTCATGTCTTTTGACTACCTTTGATCAATCTATTACTGACTTTCACTAGTATTCCATGTAGACAGTTTGGATTAGAGTGACTAGATACAAATTAGGGCGATTATTTTGTCCGCTGTCGAGAATTAGAAAGCGATGCAAACTGCAAGAAGAAAAAAAAGCAAGCGACGATCGCCAATAGCTAAGAACGGATAAGCCTTAGGTATGCAGGGGCATATAGAGATTTGAGTCGGAGACCGACGGAGGTACATTTGATCCCTGCACTGGATAAGAGTACACATTACGGAGTGTGACTCCCATCATAACCAGCTTCCCCTCTTCCAATCAGTCCGATTTGGTGGTCTCCGTTTTGAATTCTGTCGGTTGTTGGCGTGACTTGGACTCAGGAAGATACTCATCCAGATTCTTTTGGAAGCATTGTGTTGATCACAGGCAATTGTCCTCTCAACGTAGATATCCCATCAGTCCATCATGTCGACTCCAGACTACTTCACCAGTGACCCAGATTGGGAAGCATTCGCTACTAAAAATGACATTCCCCTTCCCTCAGCGACTCCCCAACAACCGTCAGCTCCGGTCGACTTCACCCAACTTGATTTCGCTTCCATTCGAGAATACGAGGCGATATCTAACACCCAATGGGCTGAAAGCCACCCCATCGAAGAGGTCGGCTATACCGTAAAGTCGGCCACGGTCCGAGCCCGTGATGGTGCCGATATCAACTTGAAAGTGTCATTTCCACTGTCCAACCGCCTCGACACTAAAGGGAAAGATAAAATCTCTCTACCAATTCTCTTGGTCACCCATGGTGGGGGCTGGGTTCAAGGCAATCATACCTCGGAGGAACTGTGGCTCTTATACCCATTGTACGAGCGGTTTGACCTCGTGATTGTCAGTGTGGAATACCGTCTGGCTCCAGAGAACCGCTTCCCGATCTGGATCGAAGATTCCGAGGATGTACTAGATGCTCTACTCGATTCCCCAGAGAGAATTCTCGGTTTAAACGCAAATATCAAGGTCGATCTCAATCAACTCATCCTGGCCGGTTCTTCTTCTGGAGCAGGAATCAGTGCTGCACTCTCTCAGATCTGTCGGGACAAAGGTATCCCTGTCAATGGTGTCATCCTCAACGTTCCTATGCTCTGCGACCCTCGTCATTTCCCGGTCGCCGAGTACGGCCCCTCTGAAGAGTCCCTTCGCTCGTATACCCAGTGCATGGATATCTTCATGGGCTCAACTGGGCTACTCGCCGTTTGGAACCTGATTCATCCGGAGCCCACCTCGGGCTTGAGCAGTAAAGCGTCTCCGTTGCTCGGGGATGTGAACGGTCTTCCACGACATTTGATCTTTGTGTCAGGGCAGGATCCGTTACGAGACGAGGGGATAGCGTATGCCAGAAAGCTAGAAGAGCGAAACGTACCGGTCACGCTTAATGTCTATAAGGGTGTGCCGCATAATTTCGGACACTTTTGGGAGTTACAAGCGACAAAGCTATTTTGGGAGAATTTGAGAGCTACTCTGGAGGAATGGTTGCTTTGAACATCTTCTTGGACCTATCTAAAACTGTATAACTTTTGGTGTAGTACAAAAGAACATAATACATACATGCATGTATCCCATATATGAAAACGAAGCCTTTTGACCCCCAATAAAACCACATACTCCCTATAAGAAGCCGTTGCCAACCCACTTTTCCTTCGTTTCTCACTCCTCCCTCTTCATTGTTCCGAATCAAAATATTCTCAATTTCTACTGTTCTCCCAGGGGCTCATGGCATACAAAGATTTTCACTAGTATCTTTGAGGGAGACTGGAATAGAAGGTTGCGGGAAGGGTCGGAAGCTGCATCCCAGTTAAGAAGTACGGCCCTCGGGATGGCAATTCCTTGCGCAAGCTTATGGTCTGCCGTCTTATTGCCAAGGAGTCTGACGTTCATGCTCGCATGGTGTGGCATGGTCGATACGAGTATGGGGGGAAAGTAACACCATTGCATATCGCTGCTCAATCCTAGAATCTGGAAGGGACGCAAGCGCTGATTGATCATTGGGGCGACATTGAGCTTGCAGCTATGGTGACCATAGCTGATAGTGAAGGCAGACTCCCGGCGCACTGGGCCTTGATCGGTACTTATGATCGTCGCGAAGAGAAGGATAACACGGATGACATTATCTCACGAATACTTACCATAGTTAAGACTCTACTTGATGTGAAGCTGGCAACTGTCAACCCGCGAGACGAGTCTGGCACTACGGCCTTTCATTACGCGTTGCAGATCCGCATTGAGTATCGGGAAGTCTTTCAAGATATCGAAGTCCTTTTGGACGCAAATCCATCCGTCGACACACTAAACTCCAACCATCGGGGCACGACTTCTCTTGGCGACGTGATGAGGTCATGTAAAACTTATGGCGGTACTCTTGAGAAGCAACAAGCTTGATCATGATTTTGTTGGCGAATGGTGCCAATCAACGCTTGTGTGACAACAAAGGACGTAATATCCTCCACATACTTTGCATGCAATCCACGAAAGAGCTCATCGCCCCTGTCATGCTGGAGCATCTATAGACAAGCCTAATGAAGCCGGTCAAACACCCAAGCAGGATGTTGGACAATCTTGGAGAACATGAGAAAAACAGGGGCAAGATGAGGTCTTAGTAGGCCCATGGGGGCACTGAGGGGATTAGAGCTTGCTGGTTGCTAGAAAACGTGGCATTGACAGCATAAAAAGAACATAACAGTCATACAATTTAAATCAAGGGCCGAAGGGATTACAAGAACAAGTCAAGTAGAAAGAATAAAGTAGAAATAAATTATTACACTGCCATACCAGAAGTACAGGTCATCACTCATAAGACATCAAAGCCATGGTAAATACACATCGGGCTGACACATTGTCTTAGAAAAGAACACATGAGAAAAAATCAAATAGAAACAGGAAAATGAAAAAAAAAAAAAAGTAGATAACTCCACATATTCACGGTCATCGGCCTTAAAATGACCATTATGTTAAATGACCCAGACGCCATATCACCAACCGGCGAGAGAAGAAGAAAAAAACACAAAATATTAGACAATAAGAACAAGGATGCAGCAGGCGCGCATGTTAAAGATGGGAGCAATCATGATCAGAGTGTGACGCCTCAGATCACATTGCTCATGTCCATCATAGATGAAGGTGCCACACTGTGAGTAATGCTTTGAGCAATGCTGTGGACAGACCTGGTAGCATCAATAGACATGCGGTCGCCGCTCATCATCCTTGATACTTTCTTGTCCTTGCTGGGGCGGGCAATGAGGACCTGGGCGGGGCAGACGACTTCCTCGTCCTCACCCTCGCCAACATCATTGCCCTTTTTGACAACGAGAGGGAAGAGCACAATGCGCACAATAGATTGTTGAGCTTCGAGCTCGCCATTGTCGTTTGTCAGACCACTGCGCTCATTCATCAGAGCTGCGTTGAAGTACACTTGGCGTGCAAGGTCGCCATTGGTATCATATTCAGGCTGCAGAGGTGGCAGCATGATGAATTCAGCCAGTTGGGTACGCATCTCTAAGGACAGACTAACGGCTACCCGCATGATCTTGCGAAGGTTATCCAGGAGCTGGGATTCAACATGCGACGGAGGAGGGAGGACGCGCGATAAGGTTTGGAAGATCTCCAGCGTAACAGCCTCCGTATCACTCTCACGTTGCGCAGCAAAGGCTGGTCGCCGGGAAAGCAGTGTGAGAGTGGTGGCTCGCCAGCGATGCACAGCACGGGTTGGGCCAACCTCGCCCAATTGTTTCTCAAGAGACTTGAGCTTTTGACGCTGCTCCCGGTCCATGCCGAAGAGATAACGTGTGAAGATGTATTCCCAAACCATCGTCATGACCACCGACATGAATACATCACGGCGACGGACACGATCAGATAGATAGGCATCGGGATCGGAGCCGTCGAGGAGGGCATTGTCGAAGCGGTCGGCGATCTTTTCGTCCTGCAACTCACTGAGTGCGCGGCAGCGACGCTTATCACTGTGCTTGGAGAAGCGCACGACCCAGGATTGGACATGGCCACACAGCTTCTGGCAGGCAGCCTCGAAGTACTCTTCATCGCGGAAGACAAGGGCATTGTCATGTACCGAGGCTGCAATTTGTTGTTGGAGCTCCTTGACCTTATCGCGAGCCTCCTCAAGTTCGGTACGCAGACGGCGCAATTCGATGTCTTTCTGCGCAAGAGCGGACTCAATCTCTTGTCGAACTCGATCTTCCATCTGAGACGAGAGTTGGCTGTGTTGCGCCTGCAGCTCAGCAAGTTCGCGTGTGGACGACTCGCGTACGGTGTTGACCTCGGCTGCGTGGGCGGCGGCGAGAGCGGAGTTGGATGCAGTCAGCCCCTCATTCTCCTGGGTCAGACGAGTCATCTCCTTCTGCAGCCATTCCACCGAGTTCTTTAATTGTTCCACCTCCGATTCCCGATCGCGCAGATCGCCGTCGCGGGTGTTGAGGGCACGGTCGCTCTTTCGACGAGCGACGCTGGTATTCCGAAGCTTATCTTCGGCTTCATCGCGGGCAGCAATCAGTAGACGGTTCTCGGAGATGAGCTGGTCGAGGCGGGTTTCGATGTCTTGCAAGTGTTGCATACTGCGACGGCGGCGGACACTAGGCGGTCGGCTAGGCGACCGTGGGGAGCTGGGCGTTTCACCCCATCCCTCCTATGGGAAAGTTAGTAAACAAAAACAAAAACAAAACATAAACAATTGCAATTAGAAAGAATAAATTAATGAACTTACATAGACATCCGACATGTTTCGCAGCGGACGCTTGCCCTTGTCGGTGACGGGGTCATAAGAGGAAGAAGACGGGAGCTGATCGAGATCGAGATTCGAAGGCTGGGAATCTAGCGCTCGACTAGCCGCCCGCAGATCGCCACTAATACTGCGATTTGTACGACGTAATTTTCCACTGCTAGTGCTGGGTTTCAGAATCCCTTGCTCAGGCGTTTTTTGAATTAGGTTGAAATCCTCGCTCTTCGGGTTTTCTGTAGGCCAAGTTTCTCGATCAAAGGCATTGTCGGTAAATTTCCGGACGGGTGTTTGAGGTCGAGGTAAGACATGTTCGGGCTTCATTTCCAGGCGGGGCGTCCCGCGGCGAGCCATGGTTCCCCGGCCATGTGGTTCTTGTTCCGCAATCGGTTCAAGCGGAGTCCGGGGTCGCACATAATCGTCACTCGGTCCAAAGAGCGACCGGGGAGGGGATGGGGCAAGAGCCGGGAGAGATGGTTCGTCCAAACTCCATGATCTGGGCGGATGCTGGTGTCGACCATGGATGGATGGTGATCGGCGTAGTTCACACAGTTCTGCTCCAGCTTCCTCTGGGGGTGGGAAGCGCGTAGGAGAAGAAGGTTCCTCGGTACGAGTCCGCTGGTTGGAGGGCTCCGTTGACAATGACAAGGGCGCATCCACGGACTTTTCGCCATGCATGGGTAGTTCTGGCTCTCTGATTGAGTCATCCTCCGTAGCAGTCGGGGTTTCGGAGTGGGCTTTCAGCTCCGAGATTGTAGACTCAATTTGTCTTTCGAGGCTGCTAGGCAGCCCCGAGGTGAAATCATCGGCGATTTCTTTGGTTTCAGTGGTCGCTAGGGGTGCCTCCGAGACAGGGATCGCGATATCGCGATTCGCTTCCAAGTCCGCTGTTGTCTCTTCCTCAGCACTATCTTTTAGCGACGGTGATTGCTGGTCCAAAGCTGATCGCCGGAATCCCGCACGCTCGAGGCCGGGGAATAAGTTGGCAATCTTAGATCCACCGGGGGTAGTTGTTCGAGCAGGCGGCTCGATCTCTTTCTCATTCGAGGGTTCCAGGGAAGGCTCCTCGACTTCCGGAACAGCTTGCTGTGACTGCTTCTTGTTCTTCTTGGCCTTCTTCTTGTCTTTTTTGCTCGGCAAAGCCCAAGAATCTTCCTCCACGGCGTCGTTTGCATCTTGCGAAACTTCGGGGAATGAAGAATCAACAAATTCGCTAATAATCTCCGGCTCGGGGGTGGAATTTCCGGCTCAGGGTCGGAGTTCACTTCCCTCAATCGCTGGGACTCTTCAAACTTCGCCTGCCAGTCAATTGCTGGCCAGTCTTCTTCGTCATGGGACGACTTTTCGTCTGGCATTTCTGGGTTCTGTGCATTGGATTGCTCTTCGAACGGCACAATAGTAGCATGCTGATCTGCATCGATCGCGTCTTCAGCCTGTTTAGTGTCCAAGGATTTGTTAGCCTTTTGGGCCTTCTTCGCCTTCTTCTTCGAGGCCTTGCGTGAAAGAGGGATATCCTCGCTGGCGGGCTCTTCATCGGGTTGCGTAGGCTCGACCTGGATTTCTGGGGCGGATGTAGGCTGATCCTCGATCGCAAGGGAGGATTCAGCTGGCAGCTCTGGCTCCAATGTAGGTTGAGGTTCTGCAGCATCTTCAATTTCGGGAATTTCCTGTTTCACGGCAGGCTCTGTCTGCCGGGTCTCAGATTCCGTTGGCAACTCAGCCACGTCAGCCTGGGGCTCTTCTTGTTGTTGAATCGAGACTTCTTCACTGATGCCGCCATTCTTCTTGGCCTTACGCTTGTCCTTCTTTGACATCTTCTTGGACAGAGCCGGCACCACTTCAGGTTCCCCAGGTCGATCCTCAACAGAGCCCTCGATGACCTCGACGTCGGCCGTTTTCTCAAGGTCCCGCGTATCGGCCCCAACTTGAGCTTCATCTTCCTGTACATTCTTCTCGGCAGTATCCTGGAGGCCAAGGGACTCGTAGTTGGTAGGTTGGTCAGTGGGTTCCGCAGGTGAGGACGTATGGAGTGTGTCCAGAGAGGCGACTCCTTCATTTTTCTCGCTTTCTGAAGGTTGCTTATCTTCCGATACGACGCCAAACCCATCAAGAGCTGGGGTTCGGATGCTTTCGAGGTCGGCATTGGGGGTCTCCTGGATTTCTTCCCGGGCAATGGACTCAGGCTCGGGGACAATCTCCCTTGGTGTTTCCTCGATAGTCGGCTCCAGTTCAGGACCAGCCTCTACAGTCGCAGGCTCGGTAGTAGGAACATGTTCCTCGATGAGAGAAGCCGGCTCAATTAGTTCTTGCTTGGCTTGCTTCTTAGCCTTTTTCTTGTCTTTCTTTGACGCTTTCCGAGTAATAGTATCTACCGCGGCTGGCTCCTCGGTTAGCTCTTTTGTAGACTCCTCCAGCTTGACCTCGGATTCGAGGGGCTCTGTGGAATCGAGAACCGCAACAGGCTGCTCCGGGACATCATCTTTCAGCTCAGTTGTCAGTTCTGTTGTTTCGTCTAGACTCTTTTCTGCCTCGGGTTGAGGTTTGTCCTCAGTCTCTGAAGGCTGCAGCTGTGGAACGATAGGTTGCTCTACCACTTCCTCTAGACCTTGAGGAGTGATAGTCGAGGGCTGCTCGGGTTCAGGTTGTGACTCGACGAGTTTTTCTTCCTCGAGAAGGGCGGCAGCAGCAGCGGCAGCAGCGGCAGCGGCAGCAGCCTTCTTCTTCTCCTTCTTGCTCATCTTCTTGGGGACAGTCGCCGATTCCCCTTCTGGTTCAAAAGCGGCTTCAGGCGGCGCTTGTTCGCTAGGTTGCTCGTCATTTAGAGCCTCGGCCGGGGTTTCGGAAGCTTCCCCGACTGGCTTGTCTCCTTCCTCGACATTTGATTCAGCGGAAGGAAGTTCAAGAGAGCGCTCTCCGCTTTCGATTTCTTGACTCGGAACATGTTGTTCAGTGTCTTGCTGTCCAGTGTCCTCAGAAGGAGCCACAAGATCCTTAGTGGCCTCCTCGGTGACATCAATAGGCTGCACTGTAGGCTCGTCTGCACTAGTAACGGCTTCATCCTGGGTGATAATTTCGGCAGGTGCTGACTCCGTTACAATCTCAACCTCCTGGACAGATGTTTCAGCCGCTTCGGGTGCTGTCTGTTCCTCAGGCTGGAGGTCAGCTTCGGGTTCTTGGGAAAGAATTGATTGGCGTTTCTTCTTCTTGTCTTTCTTGGCCTTCCGCTTCTGAGCAGGAGTCATTGATGCCTCTTCAGCGGCCTCGATGGCGGCAGTATCGGCAGAAGCATCCTGCTGCGTGGTGTCTTCGTTGGGAGGAGCAATTGTCTCGGCTTCTGGGACATTGACCTCCTTAGTGTCATCAATGTCCTCGGTCTGGACAGCGACAGTCTCTTCAATGTCCTGTGGGTGTTCTGCTGGTTGCTCCTCTGAAATTGGCGCTAGCTCGACCTCGGCTTGTGGGACACTGATATCCTTGGTGTTATCAATTTCCTCGGTTGTCTGGTCAGCGGCGGTCTCTTCAACGTCCTGTGAGCGATCGGTCGATTGCTCCTCTAGAACTGGCAATGGTTCGGCCTCAGCAATGGGCTCAGGCTCGGTAATTTCTTCAATCTCCGGCTGGGGCTCGGCCTCAACCAAAGGCGCAGCTTCAGGCTGCTCCTTGTCCTCCGCAATAGAGGTTTCAGGCTCAGGTGCCGCGGCTTCCTCCTCTTGTTTTTTGTTTTTCTTTTTGTTTTTTTTTCTTCTGCTTCTTCGAGACAGCTGTCTCAGAAGCCTCTTCCTCCCCCACGAGAGATTCTTGTGTCTGTACCTCAGGAATAACATCAATTGGAACATTCACAGGCATCTCTTCAACATCTTTATTCTCAACATCCTTCTCCATGGAGAAATCGTCTGCTTCCGGCACAGACGACTTCTCCTCAACAATCTCACCATCATCAACTGTTTTCATTTCCTCAAGGGGTGTAGGCTCAACCAACTCCCCCTCTCGCTCGTGTGCAGTAGGGGCAACATCACCCTCCTGCACAGCATTTCCCTCCACCAACTCGCCGGAATCAACTGAACGCTCAAGCACGGGCTGGGGAGGATAATCTAAAAAAGGACTCTCTATCGGCGTCTGCTCTACCTGCGAAGACATGTATTTATCAGTCGAGGCCGTATTTTGCGCCGTGGCGTCGTAAGTTTCTATGTCGTGGGACTGATGTTCTTTACCGTCATGTTCCGCAGGCGAGGACGCCGGTACGGCTGAGAGTCCGGGGGCGTCTGTGTCCGTAGAGGTGAGGACCTTTTCGACGCTGTTGGCCGCTTCGGTGGATGTTGCGGCGTCGGTGTCGGCGTCGACATTCTTGGACTGGCGTTTCTTCGCTTTCTTGGCAGCTTTGCGTCGCTCCTTGGCTGACATGCCGGCTTCTTCGGTCGTCTCCGCAGGAGAAGAGGCAATGGCCTCTGCTTCCTGGGAGGGAGTTGGCTCAGCATCGGCCTCGGTGGCGGGAGCTTCGTCGGTCTCCTTGGCGTCAGGAATTTCCTCTTTTGGTACATCGTCAGATACGGTCTCTGTTGTCTCCGGTTCCTCGGTCTTGGAAGCCTCAGGTTCTGTGGTATTATTGTCTTGCTCGAGACCTTCTGCGGGCTGTGCTGGCTCATCGGGGGAAGTTTGCACAATGGGCTCGGATTCCTGCGCTGCGTCTGTAGCAGCAGGGGCGTTTTCGGTCAAGTCCACAGACTTGCCCTTCTTCTTGTTCTTCTTCGCCTTCTTCTTCTGCGCCGCAGTCAAGGGAACTTCGGGCTCTTGTGCACTCGGTGACTGAGGCTCTGATGTAGTTTGAGCATCTTGTTCCGGCTGGTCTGGCAACTCCGTCGCGGACTTTGGATCCTCGACTTCAGCAGAAATGGCGGCATCGGACACAGTAGCTGAGGTCGGCTCATCCCCAGCGATCTCCTTGCTTTGTTCAGAGGAAGCGGGCTCTTCAATTTTTTCCGAGAGTTCCCTTTCAGTAGCAGGCTCGGCAACTTCTTCCGTCACTGGCAACTCTTTTGTTGATTCCTCGGGGATCACCAAGTCAGCCGGAGCATCCTGGGATTCAACTTTATCTTCAGGTGCAGATAAATCCTGTTCTGGCTTGGGATCTTCGCTCGGAGTGGCATTGTCGTCAAAAGCAACAGACTTGCGTTGCTTTTTCTTGTCTTTCTTAGCCTTCTTTTTCTGCGCGGGAGTCATTGCCTCCTCCTCCGCAGCCTCGGTAGCAGCTGCATCAGCAGGGGCATCCTCTTGTGTGGTCTGTTCCGGAGAGGGTTCTTCGGCCTTGGGCACTTCTTCTTCTGCCATAATAGGAGTCTGGGCATCTTTGTCGACAGTTGGCTGTTCGCTTTCCTGAGTCAACTCAGGCTCAACGGGCTCTTGCTGAGGGGATTCAGGCTTGGGCTCCTCAACAGACGCGGGTTGCTCCTGTTCAGCGACGATTGATTGACGCTTTTTCTTATCTTTCTTGGCCTTTCGCTTCTGAGCAGGGGTCATTGATGCCTCTTCGGCTGCTTCGATAGCGGCTGTATCGGCAGGTGCCTCTGGCTGCGTGCTCTCTTCCAAAGAGGGCTCTTCAACCTTGGGCGCTTCTTCTTCCGTCACAATGGGAGTCCCCGCATCTTCGCCGACCGTGGACTGTTCGGCCTCCTGGGTCAAAATTGGCTCAGTGGGCTCTTCCCGAGTGGATTCAGGTATCGGCTCCTCTTCCGCTGGTGCAGGTGTGACGTCTTCCTCGGCTGGTTCAGACTTGGGCTCCTCAACAGGCACAGGTTGTTCCTCTTCGGCAACAATTGATTGGCGCTTTTTCTTATCTTTCTTGGCCTTTCGCTTCTGAGCAGGGGTCATTGATGCCTCTTCAGTTGCTTCGATAGCGGCTGTATCGGCAGGGACATCTACCTGGGTAGTCTCCTCCAGAGAGGGTCCTTCGGCCTTCGGCTCCTCTTCAGTCACAATAGGAGTTTCCGCTTCTTGATTGAGAGAGGCCTGTTCAAACTCTTGCGATGGCGCGGATTCGGTGGATTCACCCTCAGTAGGCATAGGCGTAGGCTCCTCTTCGGCGGTTGCAGGCTTAACTTCTTCCTCGGTGGAGACAGCCTTGGGCTCCTCCTCAACAGGTGTAGGCTGCTCCTGTTCAGCGGCAATTGATTGGCGCTTTTTCTTATCTTTCTTGGCCTTTCGCTTCTGAGCAGGGGTCATTGATGCCTCTTCGGCAGCCTCGATGGCGGCAGCATCAGTGGAAGCATCCTGCTGCGCAGTCTCTTCGGCCTTGGGCGCCTCTTCTGCCACAATAGCAATTTCTGGGCTTTGTTCGGGAGCGAGATGTTCAGGCTCTTGGGATAGCGCGGGTTCAGTGGATTCAACCTCAGCAGGCACAGGTGCAGGCTCCTCTTCGGCGGGTGAAAGCTTAACCTCTTCCTCAGCGGGGACAACCTTGGGCTCCTCCTCACTAGGCGTAGGCTGCTCCTGTTCAGCAGCAACTGATTGTCGCTTTTTCTTGTCTTTCTTGGCCTTCCGCTTCTGAGCAGGAGTCATTGATGCCTCTTCAGCTGCCTCAGCGGTGGCTACATCGGTAGGGGTCTCTGGCTGCATGATCTCTTCAGCCTTAGGGGCCTCTTCCGTCACAATGGGAACCTCCGCATCTTTCTCGAGAGGAGGCTGTTCGAGCTCTTGAGATGGCGCGGGCTCGGTGGATTCAACCTCAGCAGGCACAGGTGCAGGCTCCTCTTCGGAGGGCGTAGGCTTAGCCTCTTCCTCAGCGGGGACGACCTTGGACTCCTCCTCAGCAGGTGTAGGCTGCTCCTCTTCAGGGGCAACTGATTGGCGCTTCTTCTTGTTCTTCTTCTTTTTCGACTTGGAAGAAGTTGCCACCTGTTCATCTTCAGCCTGCTCCACCGCTGGAATTTCTGTGGATTCCGTAGGTTGAGTTCCCTCCACAGCTGGGTCTGGTGTAGGCTCTGTGGGCTTGTCATCGAGAGACTTGTCTAAGACAGGCTCGTCGCTGACGGCTGTATCAAGTCTTTCTTCCCGGGGTTCTTCCGCGGAAGTCACTTCAACCGTAGGGTCTTGGGCGGTTTCTCTGTCCACATCTTGAACATCAATGGCTTGTTCAGCAATCTCCGGGGTAGGAATAGCCTCGTCTGCGGATGCCACGGGAGCAAGCTCGGAGTCAAGAACTGGCACATCCTGAGCTTGTTCCTCTTCAGGCTTGGTCTCAGTTTCAAGATCACGAGCTGCCTCGGGCTCTGTGGGCTCATCAACACCCGCAAGAGCTTCTGCGGTAGGTGTAGCCTCACTCTCGGGCAGGATGTCGCCAACTTGTTCGACGCTCTTTTCCTCGGTAGAAGTAGGCTCAGCCTCAGGCGTAGGCTGTTCATCAAGCTGCAAAGATTCTTGCTTCTGCTGCTTCTTCTTGTTTTTCTTGGCCTTCTTCCTCTCGGCGGCAGTCATTGGAACCTCGGGCTCGGGAGATTGTTCTTCTGCTTTAGGAGCATCAGTCTCTATAACATCAACCGAAGGTTCTTCGGTGGGTGCTGGAGCCACATCCTCGCTCTTCGGCTCCTCCACCTTGACGATATCGTCCTGTTGATCAAGGTCTCGGGGTGCATCGGCAGGAGCGGTTGTTTCTTCCGATAGTGGAACATCGGCCATAGCTTCGGTGGCCTCAATCTCAGATGATGGGGCAGCATCTTCTACTGGGGGCTCAGCCTCAACAGAAGGCTCGATATCTTTCGTTTGCTCGAGGGTCTCAATCTCGATTGGCGGAGGGATATCTTCGGTGACTGGAGCAGCCTCAGGCTCGGTTGTAGATGCAGGTACAACATCTTGTGCAGCCTCAGCAGGTTCGGAAGACACCGACGCAGACGGGTCTGCTCGAGCAACATCATCACTTTCCGCGGCAGGTGCAATATCCATGCTTGGCTCAGCTGATTCAGCCTCAGGTGCAGGCTCAGCCTCAACGGGCTTGATATCTTCAGCAACAAAGCCAATGCTCTCTTCCTGCTCCTTTTGCTGCTTCTTTTTCGCCTTCTTGGCCTTCTTCCTCTCCGCGGCGGTCATAGGGACCTCTGGCTCAGCAGGAGATTCTTCGACCTTGGGTTGCTCCTCTGATACGGTTGGCTCATCTTTAGGTGCCTCTGAATCTAATACCTCTGCTGTTGGTTCTGGCAGAGGCTCAGGAGAAGCTTCTTCCTGGGGTAGCACGGTCTCAGAAGTTTGCTCGGGCTTGAGAGATTGTTCGACCTCGACGGGCCGCTCCATCTCGCGTTCTTGTGCAGGCGCATCCGCCGATATCTCTTCAGTGACAAGAGGGGCTTCCTTGGCCATATCCTCAGCGGCAGTCTCAATTTCAGGCGCCGGCGAGATAGACTCAGCAGGCTTTTCGTCTTCAGGAATGGAAGTTTCACTCTGCTTGCCCTTCTTCTTGTTTTTCTTAGCCTTCTTCTTCTGGGCAGCAGTCAAAGCGACTTCGGGCTCGGGTTCAACTTGAAGTTGAGGTTCAGCTTGAACTTCAGCTTCGGGTTGAGTCTCGACAGCAGAGAGCTCTGGGATTTCGCGAGAAGCCTCCTCAGCAGGATCCGAGATTTCAGCGTTGGGCTGGACATCAATGACAGCTGGCTGTGACAGTTCATCAGATGGCCCCGCGGGGTCCACTGGCTCGGTCACAGCGGGTGTTGCATCCACAGCGGCCTCCAATGGAACTTGCTCCTGCTCCTGGGTAGCTGCAGGCTCCTCAATGGTGGTTTGGAGGGGTTCCTGAACATCCTTGGTAGGCTGTTCAAGATGTTCAAGATCAGTAAGTAAGGCTTCACCGCCAATTGGAGGAGATTGGGTATCCACAGGTTCGACAACAGCTGATTGCTCAAGTTCGGGATCTTGAATTTCTGGCGATTCAGTCTCGGGAGCGGGCGTTTCAGCGGAAATCTGAGTCTCTTCCACAGCATTGGATTTGCGATTCTTCTTTTTCTTATTTTTCCGCTTCTCCGCCTTTGTTTCTGACCCCTCTGCGGGGGCGTCTACAGCCACTTCAATGGGAGGCTCCGGTGCAGGCTCCTTTTCTTCGGCGGGCTGTGCAACCTGTTCTTCGACGGCCTCTTGGAAGTTGTCTTCGCCTTCGGTGTCTTCTTTGGGTGTTTCAGTAATTTCAGGCGTGGTGTCATTGACAGGGGCCTCTTGGGTAGAATCTTCAGTTGGCTTCTCAATATCTTCCAGGCTGCGGGATGCTTCTTCCGCTTCTGGTTGAGTGGCACCAGTAATTGGGGTTTCATTAGCATCAGTGAAAATAGGCTCCGGGGTCTGCTGCTCCTCCACGGGTAGAATGGGATCTTCGGAAACAGGTAGAACAGATTCTTCGGTAGATACCTGTCCCGCGGGTTCAACCGGCTCCCCAGATTGATTTTGCTCTTCATCAGTGACAGCAGATGGGATCGTAGTCTGATCAGCGGTGTTCTCGAGAGGTTCAGTAGAAGTAGCAATATCCTCGGGTAAGGGCGCAGCCACAATCTCTTCGGCAGGTGCAGGTGCTGTTTCTTCTTGCTGGCCCTCAACCTCCTTGGAGGCAGAAATATCATCCTCGGCCTGAGGAGCGACCGTATCATCTGTAGGCTCTTCAGAAGTAGATGCGTCCTTAGCTTTCTTCTTCTGTTTTTTCTTGTCGCGCTTGGCCTTTTTAGTCGATGATGCAGTGTCCTCGGCCTGTTCGGTCTCGGTAGGCACCACCTCTGTAGGCTCAGGTTCAAGGGCGGTGACAACTTCTGGTTCTTGAGTTGCTGCAACCTCGGGCTCAATCTCAAGCTCTCGAGAGGCGTCGATAGGCTCAGCCTCAGGTTGCTCAGGAACAGCGACCTCGGGCTCAACGGGAGCGCTCTCGATCGGTGCGGACTCAACAGGAGCAGCTTCGACCACAGGCTCATCGACCACGATCTCGGGTTCAAGCTCGCGGGATGCCTCAACACCCTCATGCTCAGATTGCTCAGGGATAGCAACCTCAGACTCAGCAGAAACAGTTTCAACGTCGGGGACCTCCACAGCACGGTCCTGCGCCAACTCCTTGGACAAATCTTCCTGCGCGAGGGGTTCTTCGGGGGTTCCCAGATCCGCATCTTGGTCCTGGTTCTTCTTGCCCTTCTTCTTCTTGTTTTTCTTCTTAGAAGACTTGGTAGCCGCGCCCTCGTCGGGGACGACTCCTGTCTCGGGCTGAAGTTGAAGATCAGAAGACTCAATAGGCTGTTCAATAGATTCAGGAACAAATTCCTTGGGCGTCTCCATCTCTTGACGCAGAGGTTCAGTCTCGGCAGCGGGGTAATTCTCCTCGATGGCAGTAACGGGTTCACTGGGCGCCCCCTCATCGACAGGTACCTTGTCATGGTCGTGAGAAGAGCCGTCAGCGGCAACTGCTTCATCAACAATATCGCTGAAGCTATGGGCCTTGGCGGGTTCATCTGCAGGCAAGGAACGGGACTGATCATGCTCCCTGACAGCGGCAATAGCAGCTGCATCGACAACACCGGCAAAGCCAACGCCCTTGGCAAAGTCCGCAACGCCGCCGAAGAACGAATTATGGTCTTTGGTCGGGGTTTCCGGCTCGTGCTGAGGGCGGGACACGCCCTCGAGAGCGTCAAGTGCGCGTTGCGTTTCTTGCTCCCGAGAGCCAACTCCAACCATGGAGCCCTCTGCAGAGGGCAGGGCATCCAGCGTAGGTGAAGGAGGCAACTCATCCAGAACAGCAGGGTCCTGCAGGAGCTCAGAAGGTGAGTGGAATTCGTATCTGCGCTTTTCCTTCCTCGACTCTGAATCCTGGAAATGCTCAGCGGTAGGCGTGGGCTGCTGCGAACCGAGGAGATCAAGGTCTCGATCATAGCTTTCGTTCGCTTGGTCAGTTAAAATTGCCAGACCGGTCGGGCGCTGGTTCTCCATGATTGATCTGCTCAGATCCACATGCTCCCAGCTCTTGAGGCCTTCGTCATCATGGAGAGACTTTAGGTTGTCCATTGATGGGGCACGGGAGGAGGTCTTGCTGGATGGGAGCGATGGCAAGGGCTCCTCGGTGTCAGGCTCGCCCTTGATCAAACTGTGGCGCTCGACGAGCCATAGAGGACGGATTTCACGCGAGTTTCGGAACTCGACTGACCCGGGCCGGCGGTTGCGTTGCTGGCTTGGCGAGCCTGGGGAGGCGATGGGGGCGGATTGTTCGACGGGGACTGCCCGGGACAGGCCTGGGGAAGTTGGGGGCCGGCGGAAGTGGAGAGGCACGGCTGTAGGCGATTCGTTGGTGGACTTGGCCACGGAGTGTCGGCGTTGCTTGGGGGATCGGGACCCCTGGGGGTGGCTTGTTTCAGGTGAAGCGGGGCGGCTCAGAGACTTGGGGGTCAGATCGAGTGTCTTCTCTGTGGCTGGGGGAGAAGTGGATTGGCTCCGGGGCCTCTGCTGCGGGATCTCATTGAGTGCTGATGCTGCAGCGAAGACTGCTGCGCTACCTGCTGATGCTGGAAGCCACGAAGCACCATTATCTTCGCGCTCAGGGGCTAGAATTTCAGGGTGCTTCCTTAAAAATGATTGATCGTCGAAGTTGTCACTATATCCGTCCTGCACATGGAATAACCAATAAAAGCTTAGTACATTTCTTTTTTTTGTTCGGGTTTTGTGGTTTTTTGTGCAAAAGCTGGTCAGATCAACCAGCAAAAAAAGGGAAACTATATGGGACAATAAAGTGTACAACCAAAAAATCACAACATAAGTAAGTAAAAAGAAAAGTTCAGATGCTATACCTTCTCAGATTCCCGTTTCCTCCCTGAATCCACGATTTCCTCGTACCGATGACGTCGCCGCTCTTCCTTCTGCTGTCTACTGGACCTGTACTCCTCCAGATTTGTGTCATCCTGCGTACCCTTCTCCTTGTCTGACATGTAACGATCCAATTCATCCCCATTGCTGGAGCTGCGGTGCTTGGAAGAACGCTTCTTATGGCGACGGCGTTCATCATCCACACCAGCTTCAGATATGGCTTCGCGGGATGAGCGCTTATCCAACGAGGAAGAGCGAGAATGGTCAGACCGAACACGCTCAGCTGGAGCTGAGACTTGTGAGCCAAAGATACTTCTCAAAAAGCCACCGCTCTTTTCTTTCTCGTCCTTGCCTCGGCGCTTCTCGTGGGATTCGTCAATCCGAGCTGGAGAAGAGGTTATAGAGGCATTGTCATCAAATTCAGCGTCGCGGGATGAACGGTGGCGATTCTTGCGGCGCTCAGACTTGTCATCTCCAATGTCCGTAATAGCGGAGCGAGCATCGTCGTCAACGGAGAACGTGTCACTTCCATGCTTAGATCGACGCTTGCGACGTCTCTTCTTCTCTTCACCACCTTCCGCGTCGTCAGAGGCGGCTTCAGCATCGCGACGTGGATCGAAATCATCGCCGCTGCGACGAGACTTTCTAGACTTAGCTGATTCAGAGACAACAGAACGAGACTCATCGCGAGACTCGGACACATCCCGTGATTGGGAGATATCAAAGTCATCTCCGCTGCGTCGAGATCGTCGAGATTTGCTAGTCTCATCTTTCGAGACAGGTGCAGAAAAGACTGACCGGTTGTCGTCGTAAGACTCGGAGATCTCGCGTGATCTGGGGATATTGTAGTCATCCCCACTGCGTCTCGATTTGCCCGACTTAGATGACTCGTACTCTTCTTTGCCAGCAGGAGTAGAGGTAATCGAGCGGGTATCATCCCGAGATTCGGATGGTTCGCGTGACTCGTAGATCTCGAAGTCATCACCGCTCCGTCGAGATTTGCGGGACTTGGACTTGGATGTCTCGTCCTTGGAAACGGGGGCAGAAATAACAGAGAAAGAATCATCGCGAGACTCGGGAACCACTGACTCCGGGTATTCAGCAATGCCGAAGTCATCACCACTCCTCCTGGACTTCCTGGACTTAGACTTGGATGTTTCGTCCTTCGACACGGGAGCGGAGATAACAGAATAAGATTCATCCCGAGTTGGAGACACCTCCCGTGATTCGTAAATCTCAAAGTCATCGCCACTCCGCCTTGACTTCTTGGACTTGGACTTGGTCGGAGTCTCTGGGTCCATGGCAACAGGCGCAGGCGCTGAGACCACGGATCTGGCGTCGGGCAAGTCTCTAGATTCGGCTGTATCAAAGCCACCAGGCATCGAGAAGACATCTACGTCTTTTTCGGGCGAAGCAGTACGATCGCGCTTGCCGTATTTGCCATTTAGCTGCTCAATGACCTCCTGGGCAATCGAGGCCTTGTCACGGCGTCCCGAGGAAATGTCCAGATCTCTTGAGAAGAATTCTGGCTCCTCAAAGAAAAGTTCATCCTTGTCCTGGACCACGTGCTCGGGGGCGGAAGTCATATCCTTGGTAAACTTGGGGTCAATTTCTTCGATCTCGCCCTCAACGAAGCCGTGCGGCTCGCTCCGAGCTGGTGCAGACCAGGGTGAAGTAAATGTGTTTTCATCCTCCGACCCAGGAGGGGAAGTGCGAGTGTGGTAGGTTGGGTCATCTGTGATCAGAGAGGGATCAAATCCAGCTGCGGCCGTCGCAGCAGCGATCGTTGCAGCAAATTCAATATCGGCGCCGTACTCCGATGTGCTGGGAATACCCTTGGATTGGGATATCTCGGATGCAGGGAGAGGAACGTCCTTCGGTGAGATTTCGATAGGGGAAATGCCATGCTCAAGAGGATCCTGTTCGGAAGAAGAGGGGATCTCGTATTCGTGGGTTTCATGTTCGCCCCAGGAGACCCGGGAGCCGCTTGGTCGTTCGCGAGGCTGGGTATCATAAGATTTATTTACAGGGGGCGTTGGGGATGTAACGTCGCGAACGGAACCACCGGTCACGCTATGGGGAGGAGTTGGCTCAATGAGGTTGAGTCCGGGGACTGGCCATGGGAGGCGGTCCACGTGTTGATAGGGTTCGTATGAGTAGTCCACCTCTGTAGGCTCAGGCTCCTCTTGTGGACGTCGTTCGCTCGCAGGCTCTACCTCCACGATGGTTGGCATATTGGGGGAGCCGCTGCTGCGAGTGTGAACATCTGGGCTGTGTCGTAATTCCTCAGGGGCATAAAATTGTGCGTAATCGTCGTAAACCTGTACTGGTCGGGGAGATCGGGGAGACCCTTTCTTCTGGTCTTCGCGGTGTTCCACCGTGGTCACTTCTTCATCAATCGGTTGAGTGGGCTCAAACCGCGACACGATCGAATTATCCGCGATCGTATCAGTGTCGTGCTTCCGCTCGGCGCGGCGTTTCTCTCGGCGCGCATTGTATCGCTGGCTAGCTTCAGAGGCTTCGTCATCGTCTGTCTTGCGCGAGAGAATCGTGCTGGCAGCGGCAGCGCCTAAAGCTCCAGCTGCTGCTGCACCGACCCAGGATGAGGAGTCTTTTTCTCTGTCGCCCGCATACCGGCGCTCCTCGTCGTCTCGCTCCTTTCGGCGGCGCTCTCGTCGCTCAGTTTCCTGGCGGGCCAGCTCTTCCTCTCGGTCAATCAGTTGAACTGGTTGATCAGTAAATTCATCCCGATAGTTATTGTCACGACGAATAAGGCGGCGTTCCCTCTCCGCTTGCTCTTCCGTCAAGTTAAATTGCACGGAGGCTGGCTCCTTAGCGGTGAACCGGCGCTTGAGGCTGGAAGCAGTTTCCTGAGTGGGGAAAACAGGAGAGGAATCACTCCGTCGGGGTTTCCGGCGATCGGCGTATGTTGACGCTTCTGGTGCCCATGCTGCATCACGACTGATTTGGAACTGCGAGTCGTAGTGCCCAACTTCATTAGCGAAAAGGGGTGGGACCGCTGGGGTGCTATACACAGGAATGGGCCCCGAAACAGCTCCCTGGGTAGTGTACACCGATTGGGAGACAGGGGTGAAAGGCTGAGGCTGCTGAAGGGGAATGGGCCCTGGGCGGATGAGGGCTGGTTCCCTGCCAGATACAGATGGGGACATCTTTGCAACATCAAAGCGCGAGGGGTCGGAAGTAGGGATTGGGTAAACTTGTTGCAGACTCCCAGACCTGCTCGGGGGTCGCTATCATGGTGACGAGCAGAAGAGATTGCGGCGGCTCCAATAGCGCCGGCGCCGGCTACCAGAGCGGCATTTGTAGCACTCGACCGCTTGTCCTTCCTCTTCTTGTCCTTCTTGCTTCCCCATCTCCAGCCCCATTTGCTGCTGGCGGAGTCCGAGGAAGAGTCGACGCTGCTTCCTCCGAACGCTAGCGCAGAGCTAACACTTGAAGAAGACTGGTCCTCCGATTCGGCATCGACCCATTCTTCATCCTGAGTGGTAGAGTGGGCGTAGTTGGAGTGTCGAGATCGTGTATACATCTGGCCTGCGCTGCGCCCAGGACCGTGGGGCGAGGAGCCAGCCAAACGGGTTGCCGTGTCGCTTAGCTCTACCAAAGCGGCATCAACATCCTTACCCTTCTTGCCCTTCTTCTTGGACTTGTAGGACTTCTTCGAGAACCCATCTCCGAATGCAAGATCATTGTCCAATGAAGAGGATGAAGAGCCACTCTTGAATGAGAAGAAACCGCTCCGCTTCTTGGTGTGACGTTTCTTTCTGTTCTCGGAAGAAGCAGTGAAGAAAGAGCCGATACCACCAGCGATGGACTTCTTGGCGGGCTTGGGAAGATTGACAAAGGATGATGATGAGGATGAATCCTTTCGGCGTTGTCGTCCTTCAGGAGAACGACTGCGGGAGCGGGAGCGGTTACGCGACTTTGCAACAGCCAGCGCCGCCCCGCCCACTGCGGCACCGATTGCAGCCTCCTTCAAATACGAATGCCGGCCGGAACGAGAGGAAGACCGTGATCGGGAACGTGTGTGTCGAGAATATCCAGATTGAGAGGCATGCTTAGAGTCTGCATAATGGTCTCTTTGAGGACTACGGCCAGAACGACGGGTCACACCACGAGAGGTATGGCTCCTTCGGTCATCTTCTTCTCCGTGGGATGAGGCCACTCGACCGGAGCGGAGGCTGTAAGAATCATCAAACTCCTTGCTTGAGAAGAGCGATTTGGTCGCATAACCAGCAAGCATGCCAGGCAGCCAAGAGGAAGATTTCTTCGACTTTGGTCGACGGCGACTCTCATCTTCGGAGGAGTTGTATCGGCTGACCTTACTGATCCTGGAACTACCACTGCTCCGTCGATCGGGGGAGTTTCGGCGGCGCCTGTGATAATGGTGCTTGCGAGGGGCATCGGCGGAACTCGTGCCAGGTTGGAAACAGTATTTACACACACCGATAGATTCTGTGTAATCCTCAAATCTTCCAACGGCCTCGGGGTCACGCCAGAAATCAACGAATCTTCCCATGGGGCCACGCTGACGCTCTTGGAAAGCCAGCGCGCTGGGTCCATGAGGATAAAAACCCGGGTTGTAGGCAGCTTGAGCAGCATATCCTCCCGCACCTGCGGCATACAAAGCATTATTATGGCCAGGAGCATACGGTTGCATAGCTTGCATACCACCAACTTGAGAAGATTGCTCATGGTGCTGGAAAGCGTATTGTGGTGCGTGCTCGGGGCTTGAGGAGTGATGGTGATGACCCAGCATGTACCCTGTTGCAGCACCTGCAGCTGCAATACCGGCACCTTCACTGAAGCTATGAGAGTGGGACGGCTTGGAGGGAGGCTGGTAGCTACTGCTTGCTATCGGCTGATATTCCATTGGCTGGTTATACGTCATTGGCTGGGCCTGCTGCTCATACGAAGTAGTGTGCTGCGGAGGGGAATGCGACTCAGAATGAGACACCATACCCCCAATGCCATAAGCCGCAGCTCCCACAGCGGCAGCAGGGAAGAGACCCGATGAAGAAGGCTTAGAAGGCTTCGACGGTTTCGGGGGTCTAGATGAAGACACTGCCGGTGCCTGACTTTCCTGTACCGGAGCATGGAAATCATCGTCGAAATAGGCCGCCGCTGCACCAGTCTCACCCAAACTACTGGGCTCTGGGGGTGGGTTAGCCGATGGAGATGCTGCCATCAAGTGTGCCTGGGTGTTCGGAAGCACACTTGGTGGAGCCGGTCGAATGCCGGGCTGGTGCTCAACAGACTGGCCTTGGTCACCATAGTAGTCTGCCGCAGCGCCGGCAGGGTTAGGCGGCCGATACGGCGCAGCAACTTGCTCTGGGAACTGGCCAGGAAATTGTTGCTGCACGTGTGGGTCATACGGGGCTTCATGCGCGGGCGAATGTCCTGCAGGTGGAATTCCAGCGTCGTACTGCATGGGAAATTGCGAGAATCCCGGGGCGCCAATCTCGGCGGCAAACTGCGCGCCGGGGGCGCTAGGTGGCATGCCTGTGGAGATCGGGGGCACATATGGATCCCCTGGGTGAGTGCGGCGACGCTCGCGACGGTCGCGCTCCCGGTCCAAGTCATCATCCAGAGTATCTTGTGTTCCTCGGCGGCTCCGCCTCTTTTCACGCTCTGGACTGTCGGATCGGTCCTGGTCGCGCCGACGAGAACTCTTGCTTTCCCGTTCACTGTCTCTGCGTTTTGGTGTGCGTTCAATATAATAGCGATCGGAGTCATCAATGGCTTCTGGCTCGGCGGTTACATAGGTGGATGCGATAGATTCGCCTGCAATGCTAGGTGGGCCACGCTTACTGCGGGAAGCCGATGGTGAGTAAGACGACAAATCACCTAGGCCGCGGTCACGGTCGTCACCCCGTGAGGACTTGCGACTTGAGATTGATCTTGTGTCGGATTTGTCGGGCCTTTCAGACTTGCGCCGGCTGCTCTTGGAGCTGCGAACGTCGGATGAGGACGACGAGCGGCCCCCGCCCATCAGGGCTTTGAACATGGTGGGCAATTAATTTGGATAGCCAAAGTGAACCATGTGGGATGAAAGGAATGTAATGGTTGGAATGGGGGAGGTATGGGGAGGGTAAGTGTTAGTTGTAAGTTAGAGGGAATGCAATGTTATGGGTTTGTTTGGGGGGGCGTAAACAACGGAGCTGACCCGTGGATCTTGTACCCGGGAAAGGCCCCCAGTGGATCTCAACTTGACCTGTGGCGCTTAACCTCACCTTCTTCTCTTCTTTAGTGTTGAGTCTTGGATGGAATCTGTGTGATAGGGGTTAGATGAGATGCAAACGATCTGCTGGAAAAAAATGCGACAGTGAAAAATGTGATTCACAGCGCTGATGAACTGTCGGTGCAACGAGTGGAGCGAATCAAAATCGCGGTGAAGCATCGTGCACGGACCAACATGGGGCTGGGTTCACTTCTTCACCCAGCCATCTATACTCCGTACAAAGTACAGCGTACGGAGTACTCCGTACCTCAAATATACATCGAAAAATAAAGATGGTTGGTCCAAATATATCCAGTCTATACTTCTCGGCACATGGTACACTTCAATGCCTATATAAGAACAAGAATCACATGCTAGCCGTAGTATCGCTAACAACCAAAAGCGGTATACTCCGTATCCAATTTCATATTATTGACAATAACAGTCCAATACATATATGCATTAATCTACCAAATAATACCACAAGCATATAGCCACAACACCCCTTCCTAGGTATTAAACAACTAACAACCCGAACCAGCCCATATCAACTTCTCCAACCTATACCTCAGCGAATAATGTAACCACCTAGGCAGCCCCCTAATTTGCTTCGCAATCAACCCAGGAAAATCGATTAACAACAATATGCCCATTCTCAGCCTTGAGCACTCACCTAACAACCTCCTCCGTAATAGCCTCGGGGTGAAGCAGGGAATTCGACCAAGTATTCTCAAGAGTCAAATCCCTAATAAGGTTGGTCCTAGCGAAATCCCGTGTAACAAGCACAAGGTGAGTCTTAGATACATAATAGCGCGTAACCGGCTCAGTGAGAAGTCCCTCGTGGAACGCAATAGCCACCCCTAGGCAGCATTAGATGCCGAGTAATCGACCATATTGAGCCTGACAGCATATCCAGCCAGCGGAGCAACAGTGACAACCATACCATGATTTTCCTCGATTATACCGGACAGGAACTCCTGTGGAAGCTTAGTGGGACAGCGTATTGATTTCGAACATATGGCGTGTCTGGGCTGGTGTTATTTTGAGGCATTTTGAAGATGTCCGCGTTGGTAATTAGGATGCTAGGCCGGCCGAAAAGGCTACAGATATTGGACACTACGTCTGCTGTATTGCTCCTGGAGATTATATCGCATTTCTAATGACGTATACTCTTCGGTAGCACGTCGTCCATTGCTGGCGGGGCAATGTCTTATGTATACCATACCATCCCCAGAGCTACATAGTAAGCTGACTCGTGCCTCTAGATTAAATCCTACCAAGCACAATGCGGGGAAGCCGAGGTCCGCGAGCAGCATGTATTTACTTTCTCGGTGGTGGTACGGTCAAATATAGGCGTAGTTTATTCTAATTAGACATTTGAATAAATTTGGTTTGATATCGGGCAGCCCCAAATAAAACCATGGGAGCTGAAACAGTGGGAGCGGAAGGGCCCACAAAGCGCCATCATAGTCCGGTACTTCCAAGGTTGTGCATGAACCATGAACCCTAAAGCTTCGATTCTCAGTTTACAACATGACCAAGCAATATCAGACTTCATCTCAATTGTTCTGTGTTCTGTCCAATCATATAAACGAAGGAAAACAAAATCTACAAAAAAAACTCCGAATACAGCCCAAACTGAAGGATGAGGTATAGATCAAAGCACCAAAGCCAACCACGAAAATGCAAACCTTTGCATTGGATATGAGAATGATATGGCGCAGCCAAATCAACAGAAATAAGTTGGAATATTGTAAGAGCATCCAAAAAAGAAAAGCCAACAGACGTGTATGACTTGGGATGCATGCAATGTAAGGCAAATAACCACACAAGACGCAATAACTCCATTCCCGAGACGTATCTCCGCGGAGGTAAGACCGTCGGAGGCACGAAATGCTTTCGGTCCCAAAAACAGATGGAAAAAAAGGAGAGGAAAAAAGAAAAAGAAAAAAGAACGAGTCAAAAGCCAATCCAACTTAGTCCAGTCATTACCTTAGAGGCAATGAAAGAATGTGGGGGATTGCTCGACGTATGAAAATAGGCCACACCAATCAATCCCGCGTAGAAAGCCCATGCGATCTGATCCTGTCTCAGATGCACGAGTGCCGAGTGTTGAATCGGATAGGGTTGGGGAATCATCAATGAAAAAAAAAAAAAAAAAAACCGTATAGTGCACAAGGTATAGATGACAGACAAATAACAGATATCGAGCACGAAGGGGGCTCAGGTTTGAAGGGACAGGGACATGCATGATGTGTTCATAAGGAGGTAGGATATCAGGTATTGGGCTGCGAAGCCCACAGGAACGGGACAAAAAAAATAGCTCTGACGCTAGATGCACATTTAAGGGAAGCTCATGCTTGTAGTTTGGCTGCTCAGGCTTGGTGTGTGACTGTTCAGGCTTGGGGTGTGGCTGCTCATGCCGTTGGCTTGCGTCAAGTCAGGAGGATGATCGAAGATCTTGGTATAGATCTGAGTGAGAATTCGAGCATCGGCGCGGAGGGTGGGGGATATGTTTTCGCTTTGAACGAGGAAGCCTATGGTGCGAACAAGGAGACGCCGGAGTTGCTCTGGCTCGACAAGTTCCTGTAGACTTGACATGAAAGTTGCAGATAGGACGAGCATGTTGCCGAATTGTCTGCCAAGAGAGTATGTTAGTATCATCGCTATATCCAGTTCTTCGAAACGGGAGTCAGAGGATTCCTTACGCATGGGCAGTGCCGAAGATGTTTGTAACGACCAAGCGATGTCCACCAACACCGTCAAAAGCCTCTGTACTCTTGATAGCCGATTGAATGCAGATGTCGCAGGCAGCCTTCAGCTTCTTCGGCAGTTCATGTAGACGGACTTTAGGGGGCTGCCAGTCAGTAGAGACTGCGGCCGGCATAGAACCCATCTCACTGGACATACGCGCCATTTTCGGGGCCCGAATAGCGCTGTGTAGCATTGAGGGGGATAATTGTTGCGATGTTGGTGAGTCCACTAAAGACTGACCAACCGGGCCCACGCGGGCACCTGTGTGGCCGTAGTGCAGGGCGTGATAGAGAAGAGGTCGGTGAATAATATACCGGGCACCGTAATACTTGGCACGCATACGAGCGGCGTTGATTTCGTCTGCCGGCGGGTCGTTTTCCTCCCACTGCATGCTTTGTGGTAGACTTTTACGCCAGAGGTCAAGGTTGAGGCTAAGAGCCTCTTGAACGGTGGATGACCATCGTGTCTGACCTTGCCTTTCAACCTTGTATAAGTCTGTATGAACTCGATTCAAGACTTTGCGTAGATGAATTTGAGCAGAATAAAACAGCATCATCATCGTCTGGGGTGCGTTGAGATCGTTCGGTAGAACGAGTGTCCATTTTCCTTTTGGGATAGCCAACCGACCCTCGGAACGGGAGATGCCACTCGCTGGAATATCCAGCTCTGCGAGAAGATCACTCTCCAATTGCAAACAGGTCCAATAAGCGAAGTTGTACAAGTCCTGTGTAGCCCCCTCTTCGAGTCGCTCATACCGTTTGGTTCTCACAAGAACTTGGCAAGCCCTCGAGGCCTGAGAAATCCAACTGTGGCTCTGGAAGGGATGGGCCAGCTGGCCGGCGTAAAGACCAGCAAGCAAGCCGCACTGGACATGTTCTAGCTCGTTTCCACCCTGCAGATGACCTAATATTGAGGTCGCGTATCCGTAGAGAGTCAGGCCCGGAATGGCCTGATAGTTCTTCGTGTTCCCTTGTTCATCTTGCGTTTCTGTCACATCTCTCCTTGACAGGCCTTTTATACCTTCTTTCATTGGAGTGGTTGAGAAAGATTGACCAGGAGACTGGGTTGACATTGGGTAAAGGGAACTCGAAAGCGACATCTGCATGGGCGCCGAGTCAGAGTTTGCAGGGGAGAGCACACCATTGGTAACGTATGTTCCATTTACAGTTGGCGGTGGGACAAATGGTGGCAGGGGAGCAGGAATGTCCTGGTGGAGGTAGTCAACCTTCTTGTCCATGATAGGCCCAGGGAGAGGGGCAGGAGCTTCACAAATCGCTCCGAGGGCCAGGCACAGCAAGACCATGGCATTGTCGATATTTTTACCGACTCGTGGCCGTGGCGGGTTAGAACCAGTTTCCATGAACTCGCCACGCACACCCAGGTTGTCGTTTGACCGCCTCCTTTTGGCTGGTGGAGGACCATCACGAGGTAGCCGTGTGTGATTGGAACTCGAACTCGGTGAGGTGTTGGGGCGGCAATAGCATCGGATAAAGCAATCGATCTTGAAATTCAGTTCACCCTCCATCAGGAATGGGTGAAGCTTAAACATGTGCGCGAAGTAGCTATCATAGTAGCGCCTAGCGGTCGTAGCATCCAGGTTCAAATTCCCGGCTTCGTCGATGTCGACGTCAGCATGCGGGCCTGTGCCATCCCCATCAGGCCGGGCCTTGGTGTCACCACCATTCATTGGTAATTGACTGTCATCGGCGGTGTATGAGATCTCGCCTTGGCCGTATATGCTGATGAGACCGCGTTCTTCTTCCAACCGCATCACATAATCTTCATCATATACAGCAGGGTGTAGCAGCCTCTTAATTGACGGCCACATCAATAGCTTGTGAGCTGCAGTAGTGTGTTCCACTGGAATGGAGAGCTCTCCCTCAGCCTCCTTCTGATCCTCGAGCCTCGGGTCCATGGGTCCAACAGGTTGGCCAAATTTCGAAGCGGTTGCATCCTGACTACTCCCGGGATCCAGAACATTTGGAGTCGAGACCTGGGTCGGAGGCATCTCGGTTTTGAGAGGCGGGTCCTGCTTGATGACCGGCGGTGGTGGTGGTGGCAGGAGGGCCGCACGTTCTTGGACAGTCCGAGTTGGTTGTTTAACCAGCTTGTTCAACATTGACCCTTGCATTTGCTCTTGCATTTGCTCTTGCATTTGTTTTTGCATTTTTTCGAAACGCTCCTCCATGCGGCTCTCCATCTGGGAGAGCCGGTCCAATACCAGCTGGGTAGTCTTCTCCTGTTTGTGCGGCGGTACCTCTTTGTAGACACAGCCAAGGTTGTTCTCTTTACAGTGACTGCAATTCGGTCGTCCCTCGTCACACTTTGCTTTCCTAGCTCGACATTGATCACAGGCCTATGTAGCTCGAGTATTAGTAAAAAATAAATAAACAAAAAAAATTAAAAAACCCCCCCGAACCAATTTTGTCTTCTACAAGTTCAACATACCTGAGTGGCTCTGTTTGCTTTGCGCTGACGTGCTCCAAACGTCTGATTTTGATAAAATGCTTGATCGTAACCAGCAGGTGGTGTAGCACTCGCCATTTGGGGACCGGGTGTCATGAACTGTGAAGCAGGAGGCAGAGCACCCGAAACGGGTGTATGTTCAGCGCTGTTAATTTGATCCGGGGGTGGGTAGCCCATGCGAGCGCGATAATCTGGGGAGCCCTCGTGTGGCGCGCCATTTATCGGCTGGTGGAAGCTTGGGTGAGGGGGTATTGGGTCTTGCGGGGAATGCACGGGCGCATGTAGGGGCAGGCCATGACCATTTGGGCGACCATACGGGCCTTCCGATATTAATTGTGGCAGCTCACGGTTGGGCATCACGGGGTATCCTGGTGGCTGCGGCGGCAAGGGTGTCTGGGAGTTTGCGGAGGAGCGGCGGGAGTCGGAGGGGTGGTTATCAAAAGTCGGTGGGTATGGAGGGCGCCATGCAGGCTCATATGCTGAATGCGGACCCGGGTGCCCATGGTGCCCGTCCGGAGGTATGCGATTCATTGTAAATGGAGGGTCCGGGTGTGCGGAGGTGTGTGAAGCTGCCAGGCGCGGCTTGTGTCGCAAATAGCCCGGGTCCTTGGCGCTGAGTATATCTTGGGCGGCCAATTTACCGTCGAGAAGCGATTTGGCTTTGGTAAATTGGGACTTAAACCAACATGACGCTCTGAGTTGGGGTCGAAGAAGTAGGATGTAATAAAAAGGAAAGGAATGGCGAATGGTGGATCTGATGTCCGAAGGAGCGAGAGTTGGAACAATG